TTTTTTTTTTTTTTATTTCCAAGCTTCCCAGGGATAATGCTGTTAGGATGCGACCACTCGGCCAGAACCCTTACTTTGGCCAAAGTGAGTTCTTCGGGATTTATGATTATACAAAATGATTTTTCATTGAAAAAAAAAGGAGATAGAAATGAAGAAACGTTTAGGGGATGCTTGGATATAAAATAAGTTGATTTTATTTGGATTTTTTGGTTTGGTATGGTTAATTTTGAAAAAGTGGTATGATTAATTGTTAGTAAAATTTTGATTTTATATTAAAATAATATTTAAAATAAATAAAACTGATTTGATATAAAAGTAGGAGAGAGATGATATGAAGTGATGGTTAGTTAAAGTTATGTGAGTGGATGAATAGTGAATTAAAGTTGATGTGTAAGAATTGAGTGATATTATTTAATTATATTAATAAAATAGAGGATAGTGGAGTTGAGTTAAAGTTGAGTTAGATTTGAATCAAAAAAGTAAATTTTTTAAAATGATTGGAATTTTTTTGAAAAAATTGTATTCAAGCATCCCCTTAAAGTCTAATTTGATATCGACTAGCCTTTGCCGAAATTTTTTAACGAAAAACTTGCTGAAAATTGTTAGTCAACTAACTAATTCAACATGTTTCCAACAAATCTACCGTAGGTTATTGATGTCAAAGACGAGGCATTCATTCCCACGTGCATCGGGGCTCCTTCCTCGGCCTCGATTCTATGGATGGTCATGGGGGCATCCACTTCACAAAGCAAAGACTCCACGCCTGTTGCCCGAGTGAGGGCAATATCGGATTTTGGCACAAAAAACGGGCCATTAATTGTGTTGGGCGATCATGAGATACCGGGTTCCGAGCCCTTGCTTCAAGAACTGCAAGGTAAAATGTTGATTGGGGAAGAGGCATTTTCTACGGCAGCCGAGGCCGTTAAAACGGCCATGCGTAATTTGTTGATTAAAAAACAATACTCGACCGAGAGGCGCGAGTTGAAAAAGAAAGGAAGAAACGACAAGAAGAATAAAATGCGGGCTTAATTTGAATAATCACTATAATATCTAAAGGTTTAAGGCTAATTTATTAAAAAAATAAAAAAGAAAAAATTCCATTTCATGTGTTAAAATTACAGGTACCTTCTTGTCTTGCATTTTATGCATGGCCTTCACCTTGTGTGAGGGGGGTGTTTGTGGTTTTAGGAGTTTGATTGGGTGTTTTTGTAATTAGTTTGAACCTTAGGGTTAGTTTTTATATATGTCAACAAAAGCACCATTAGAGTCATTATTTTCATGTACTGTTGTAGTCTGTATCATAAGCATGCGCCCAGATTGTGGCCCATGTGCTTAGATTTTATTTTATAAAAATTTTGAACGTTTTAAGGTACATTTTTCCTTTTTTCTTCTTTGGTTTTTTTTATGGTAACTAACATTTCTTGTCCGCAGTGAAATAGGAGTCGAGCTATTAAATTAAACGAGCTGCTTGTGAGCTTGATTCGACTCGTTTTATAAAGGAGTTGACTCGAGTTTATTTTAAGTTCGTAGGTTAACTTGTAGAGATCGGTTTAGCTCGATATGACTCAAAAAGATTACTTTATTTAATTTTTTATAGTTCGGCTCGTTAAGATTGAAGCTTAACTCATTAATATTAATAAACGAGTTGAGCTTGAGTTTGTTTTGGGCTCGAACAACATGAGATCGAGCTGGGCTCGTTTAATTTATGAGCATTAATTTTCACTCTATTGTTTGTTTTCTTACGTATAGGATAGGATTATTATTCATTGCCCTGTTGGGGTTTGTATTCTCAAGACAATTTAAACACAAAGTCTAATCATAAATCACAATATCAGTGAGAGAGAACTATAAATTCAACAAGAATTATATTATTATCAGTATATTCCAACCTCAAAATCAATTATAAATGTTATAAGCAGGACTGTAGCATTTCTCTATATATAAGCAGGACTGTAATAGGACGGTTACATGATGATCTAACGGTACAAATCCGATGGAATTGTTCCGTAACAGGACTGTAGCAGCTACATATATATAATATGCATTTCTCTATATATAAGCAGGACTGTAATAGGACGGTTACATGATGATTTAACGGTACAA